ATACACATGAGTAGGTATCCATATGAAAGGCTTAGAATGGCCTTTCCTAATGCAAAAGACAACTTGTGCATGATGTCAAAAACCTATGCAGCAACACTGGCAAAAGGATGGCAATCCTTCAACCTCATCCCCATAACATAGATAGGGCCAAGGACACCATGCACAACATGTCAGCAACAAAGTTTTTTAAATGAAAAAGGAGACACTATAACCTTTTGTAGTCTTGAAAAGTAGACACTGCAAACTTTTCTAATGAAAAAGCGCACACTACAAATTTTTCTAATGACAAAAAGCAGACAATACAAACTTTTCTAATGAAAAAGCGCACACTACAAACTTTTGTAATGACAAAAAGCAGACGATACAAACTTTTCTAATGAAAAAGCACACACTGCAATCTTTTGTAGTCTGAAAAAGCGGACAATACAAACTTTTCTAATGAAAAAGCACACACTACAAACTTTTCTAATGACAAAAAGCAGACAATGCAAACTTTTCTAATGAAAAAGTGCACACTACAATCTTTTGTAGTCTCAAATAGTAGACAATACAAACTTTTCTAATGAAAAAGCGCACACTACAAACTTTTGTAATGACAAAAAGCAGACGATACAAACTTTTCTAATGAAAAAGCACACACTGCAATCTTTTGTAGTCTGAAAAAGCGGACAATACAAACTTTTCTAATGAAAAAGCACACACTACAAACTTTTCTAATGACAAAAAGCAGACAATGCAAACTTTTCTAATGAAAAAGTGCACACTACAATCTTTTGTAGTCTCAAATAGTAGACAATACAAACTTTTCTAATGAAAAAGCGCACACTACAAATTTTTCTAATGACAAAAAGCAGACAATACAAACTTTTCTAATGAAAAAGCACACACTACAAACTTTTGTAATGACAAAAAGCAGACACTACAAACTTTGTAGCCAAGATAACCTTTTGACCCTAACCCTGGCTTTTGTGGTCTAAGTCTGACTTTTATAGTCTATCAGCAAGCTTTGTAGGGCTATTTCCTGGCTATTCTTGGCTATATTACCATATTTGGCTTACATGTAAATGTCATGTGGTTGTTATTATGTGTGTTAACATATGGCACCTGAAACAAGGATGTATCGGGCACCTGAGCAAAGCGTTGCACATATCCTAGGACGAATGAATCATTTTTGCTTATTGTTTGTGTATCTGACAGATACCGAGGACAGATCCTTTATTTCAATTCAATTGAAGAATTTGTTCACAATATCTGTCTTCAGTTCAAACAATAAGCAAAAATTATTTGTTCGTTGAACGATCTGTCAATGAATTTGCTCAAGTGCCCGATTGTCCACTGTTTAAGGTGTGGATGTTGTAAGCAAATCTCTGTATGGTATGGTATGATTCCATGTCCTTGGTATGATCCCATCTCCATGGTATGATCCCAATGGAATGATTCCATGTTCACTACCCCTTGTACCTGGACATTCCTACTGGACTCCTACTGGATTCCTACTGGACTAATCCTACTGGACTCCACTATACCCGTTCCTTAGGAATCTGCAATTCCTTGTGATTTGGGACCATTCCAGTAGGAATTTACTAGGACTCCACTAGGACTGGGAAACAAAATTTGTATGGTGATCAGCCAACATGAAATTTGTCCCAGTCCTAGTCCAGTCCGGTAGGATTCCAGGAGTCCAGTAGGAGGCCGGTAGGAATAGGTGGAGGAGTGTAAAGAGCTCATGCATACCCCTCTCCACAACAATGCATGAATTCGAATCTACCGCCGAGATTACAAGCACTCAGTCAGCAGTCCCAACAACAATCTCAGTCTGCTGGGGCAGGGGGAGAAGCGGTGGTTCTGCCATGATTCCAGTTGAGCATCCTTTGTCACTGCTCTCCGACTCATTGTATCAAAAGCCAGGGGAGAATCCGCATACGTTGGGGACACCACCAATGTCTGTGGGTAGTACCACTTCTTTGGGAGCTGGTGGTGTGAGGACGATATCAGCAGCGGCCTTCAAGAGGCCCATACTCCACGAATCAACAAGTTATGATTCGTTGGGAGGGACAATGGCGCCATTGAGTGTGATGATGAAGAAGCTGTTACCGTTGCCTGCACCTGCATTGCCTTAGGGAGTGATTCCAGGAGTCCTGTGGTTGCTGAGTTTGGAGCAGGAGGGGGAGGAGAGCAGGGTGTGAGGGGTGGTATGGGGAAGGGAAGTTTGTGACTGATTTGGAGTTGAGGTGAACCTCAGTGCACAAACTTTGGATATCTATTTTTTTTTTTGTATGACTGGACTTGACTTTTCTTTTTTATGTCACATTTATTTTATACATGGTATCTGGATGCTTCAAGCATGATGTACTTTATCAGGAGAGTTGTGTCCAGAACTGTAGAAGTGGAACTTGACCTTGAGATGAAGTTCCACTTAGTGTATGCAACTTCCTGGGTTAGGTCACAGTTGCATGTAGAATATGGTAAGAAGTGATATCCTGTTCTACATTGAAAGTGTTAGTAATCAAGGTTCTGGGTGGAGATAATACTTCAATCTCAAAAGTAGAAACAAGTGTACAATGAACATAAGTGGTACACACACACCTGTAAGATGGTATGTGGGATTTCCTCTTGCATGAAGCATGCCATCACACATTTTCTGGGCTGTACAGTCTGTACCAGATTAGAAATACATGTTTGACAAATAGAAAACAATAAATTGAACCAAGATATCCTTCACAATGGTGGGGAATGTGCCATGTTCTGCATATGGATAAAAAGGAAATTTACCTTATTTGGTATGGCATAGTAAGATTCTTTTCCTCCACTAGGACCATTCTACTATATAAGGAAATAAGCTGACAAATAATCTCCTTATTTGGTAACCTCCTTGCCTCTGTCCTTCACTCTGTAACAGCCATCAAATTGTTTACAAATTTTGAGAGTCCACCCTATGCTTGTCTGGGGTGGTCTATCGTTTTGCTTTCATCTGTAACATATTTACTGTTTGCCACCTAGTGACAAAAGCAATTTGCCCCTACATAGTGCCACATTTATCTTTGACTTGGTGAATCTTGGACCTCCTGCTACAGATGCATGTGATCAATCTTGAATGCTGTTCCTGATTGAGGAGAGGACCCTGTAAACCAGTCACATCAACAGGTCAGGTTGATATTACAGTTTTTCCCTTGATATGCCTGGTGCAAGTCTAACTGGTAGGCTTTTTTCACCAGAGGAACTAGGAAGAGAAGGGCTAACCTTAATTTTGTGATGTTCATTGGCATGTCACATGGAATATGCGGACATCATCATGTACAATAACAACACTTGAAGCTAGCCACAAACCACATTGGCAAAAGAAGCATGGGAAACAATTCCGAACCTAAATGCACACCGTGCCTGACATCAGGTGCAGCAGAAAAAAGTGTAACACTTTTCCCAATTAGGAAATAGTGTGCACATCATCATGAACAATAACAACACTAAGCTAGCCAGAGTGTGGGAAATAATTCCTGACCCAAATGCGCACTGTGCCTGCATCAGGTACAGCAGAAAAAAGTGTAACACTTTTCCTAATTAGGAAATGGCGCAATTAGGAAATAGTGCGCACATCAAAGCAGACACTACAATTTTTTTGGCCTTACTTGGGTCAAAGGTATTGGTAAATATATGTAAACAAACTTCGAAATGAGGGTTTTCTGGCTACAAAATAATGGGTAAATTACCTAGAATGTATACCCCCCACTCCAAAAAAAATCCTAAGTTTTTTTAAAAATCTGGGACCCCAGACACCTCTAGTAGCTGAAGAAATATATCCCAAGTCCAGACCAGACCAGAAATATATTTATACAGTGTGACAGTCACAATTTAGGGTCCAGGCATAAGAAATATATTTTGGGGTGTGTGACACACTAGAAATATATTTGGTGTGACATTGGAGGTCAAAATATATTTAGGTAAAAGTGGAGATATACAAGCCCCAGGATATATACAATATAGATATACCCCCTGACATTTAGTCCTGTAGTATTCATGGAGTTTGCATATTAGTCAGTTGTTAGTGGGTGACTGAAGTGGAGGATTTGGTGTAGGCATGCTCAGGTTGCCATACTTCCTGTCATGGACACAATCAAAGCATTATTCTCGAATGCTGAGATGTTGCACGGTATCCATCATCACGATTGGTGCCATAAAGTGCTGTCAATATTGTTGGACATCTACAAGAACTGCAAAGGCATACAGTGACTTTGGCAATTCTTTCAAGAAAAAATGCGGAATGACATGACAAATCTTACCCTCAACATCGCGACATGTTGGGCAGCATGAGTGGGTGCCCAAGGGTGGTACACATACCGATTTGCTTCTTCCACTGTCGCAACAAATCCAATGTGGGCTGTGTCATCCAGATGGAGCCAGCGGAAACCTATAAACTTGCATCCTTCCTCCAAAGATGGAGAATGAGCTTTTCCAAGACAGGAGATGCACTGTGGTGGCAAGTTTTGGTCTGTAAAGATTTGGAGGTGTCCCTGGCATGTTTTTGATGACCTGAGACAAGAGGCAATCCTGGACACTTCTTGGATACCAGTTGAAGGCCATCTTGTTTGTGGGGGGAAAAAAACTATGAGGACGTGCACCACTGCCAAAAAAAAAAAAAAAAAAAGGGACTTGCCATCAATGGGAATATGTTGATCCTGAGACACCATAGGCTCTGGTTCCACAGGCTGTGGTTCACCATTAGGTGTCGCGAACTCTAATTCATCACAAGGCTCATGGGTGGATAGCGGGCACTGCTTGAGTTGCCACCAGGTACGCCTCTGACCATCATGATTGAAAACATCCCGCAGCATAATGGCGACGGCAATGTCCAAAGAGTGGTTGATCTACATTAGTGGTGAGTGTCAAAAAGATCTATTGAGGTCCAACATACATCATATGCATAAATGTGTTCTAATGATAAAGGTGAAACAGGTATAACATCAAGAATATATATAATAATAAATGCCTACCACAAGGGACCTGAAGTGCTAGGTGGTCGGATGGGGTCACCAAAGTCAGATCAATGACTTGCACAGAATCTTTTTTAAAAAAATAAAGGGGCAGAGTAAATTGAACTAATGGAAGACTTGCCAGGATGCACGATGGCCAAAAATTTTCCTTGAGAAAAGATTTTGAGAGTGACAGGTGTGTGTTTCGGAACCCAATGAATGGGTGGTATACCCACTGGAATGAGGGAGTCCAAGTGATAAAAGCAAAGGCCTAGCTTCCTGTCACACATGGTGATGAGACTCAATCCGCGACAGATGGAAAAACTGGTTCTGAAACAAGATGAACCGGTGAATAAGAGAAGGGGGGGAAAAAGGCGTATGAGTTGATGTCCATGTCAACTTTGTGGACAACTTGACTGCATGCCCAGTCGAATTTAATCCTGCAGACGACTATGTTTGAGTCATTTGCCGTCAGGATGCATAAAACTCACATTTTCTGGCATCAACAAGGATGACAAACGAGATGGAGTGTTGGTTCATTGAAGCTTGTATTGCAGAGAGAGGTTGCATGATGGGGGGTACTTTACAAAGAATAGTTAGTGAATGCATGAAAAAAGTATACCAGACGAGTTTGCTTGACGACCGACAATGTCGTGACCGGTGGTTGACAAAATAAGGTCCTCATAGCATGTGAGGACACCATGGCAGTAGGGTTCACTCATTGAAGGCAGAAATGGGTGAGCCTCCAACATCCCGCCATGTCCAGCAGGGCAGTGGCAAGGGTGACCTCTTGAAGGACTCCAAGTTTGTTTATAGAAAGACAAGAGGCGGTGCCTATTTAAAAAAAGAAAAAAAAAGCATCAAATAATTGCAAGGCGCTTGATTAAACACAACTTGCCTCCACATATCACAATCTCGCCATCTTGAGAAAACAAGACTTGCCGAATTTTTATCCAGCGTGATGTAGCCTGTTTTGCCTCAAGTTAGTGCAGGCATTCCGAACAGGCACCACCTACCTGGTGGTCCATGATAACTATCAGAGTGAGCACATGACACATATGTTCATCTTCCATGCTGCCATCACCCATCTATTCACCCAGGACTATGAGGTCACCCAGTTTGGCATCAGACTCAAGTGGGCAGGCTTCAAATCAGGGCCATAATTCGGCACCATGGTCCTCACCTAGGTTGCAGGATCAGGGTAGAATCAACATGAGCCAGGCGGTCAGTAAAAAACCTAAACAGCAGTCAAAATGTAAGGAAGATTCAAACAACATCGCTTGCATGGTGCGCTAAAAAAAAAAACAGTGGGGTCTTCATCCATAACCAACGAGACAATGGACAAGGTCATAAAACACAATGTATGTCATCACACCATGTTTTACAACTCCTTTGTCACTTTTTTATTGTAGCTGTGCTTTCTCTGTAAATCAGGTGGATTTCACAGAACATGCGACAAATGCTCAGAGTTCACCACCTGCTTTTGCTATGAGGGACTTCATGGTTGCCTTCCGGAGTGGGTGCTGAACCATAAAATACACAAGAAAAGTCTCTCTAAGGTATTTAAATTTTATCTAAGGTATTTCATTGCTGGGTGTCTCAGGTCACTACCAGTAGATTAGTGGCAATTTTGACCTCCAAAGTGTTGTCGATATCAAAACTGAGCAGCCACAGAACTCTTCACCAAACTCCTTAATCCTAAACTGTAACCCCCTATGTGGGCCATCAAACACAGTAACGACTTGGCCTTTGCACTCCGGCCGTTCAGGTAATAAGTATGGAAATGGTACTTCAACCACTTTGTAACCGAGTTGAACCTTGACCACATCTCTGACCACTCCCTTGAACTCCCCGCACTTATCTTCGTGCTGGCCGTTATGGAAATTAGGGTTGGTATTGATGAGACGAAGGCTCAGTCTCATGTTGGCGAAGCAGCCATCTTTGAGCCAATACGGAGAAGAGGCTGCCACAATTGTGTCAGTATCTATTGACTTTGAATCAGAATCAGAAACATAATTACCATCATCACCACGGCGGGGGGTTTGTGAGCTTGGGTTCCAAGCTGGGGTCATCGGGATATCTTCTGAGTTAGGAAGCGGAGTAGATGGCCCTGCAATGGCCGGAGTCGGCGGAAGGAAAGCAGCGGGATATGTGACTGAGGGTTGCGGATCTGGCAAGGGGTAACCAGGGAACAAAAAGCCTGCCAGAGTACCAGGCAGAGGCGCTGGTTCAAGTGGGTAAGTAAAATCGGTGAGAACCTCTCAAGGCCTGGGGACCTGAAGCCTTTCATCAGCGCTGGAAGCTGATTAGCATCGATTTCAAAAAATAAGATAAGGGGCTTGCATGATGCATAGAGAACTGATGTCAAAAACTTGTGGGCTTTGGAGGCGCACCTCGAGCTCGACCAAGACCCTTTTTTCACCAACTGTGCTTTTTATTCTGCCTCGGTAACCTCTAAAATCCCCCTTGATGACCATTACTTGTTTTCCTACAAGATGACTATTGGACTCCCCCTTCATGACACACTTTTGTGCATCTGTGAAGGGAGCTTTTAAATCTGAGGACTCTGTTCCGAAGACAAAGGGTGAGGTGAAGAACTGGACAATCCCCGGAGATACCTCTATCTAAAGGATGACAGAATGTTAGAAGAAGTATTATATAATAAAAAGCAAGACATTTACCTCTGTACTGGTCCTGTCATTAAAGACGCACACATAGTCGTCGTCTCCATTCACCACCCAACCCACAACACCTTCTGGTCTCCTGAAAGAATGCAGACTTTGTCCCCTACTTTGAGATCTTTTCAAAGGGATGAAAAGGGTATGGTAGTTGTTACATCCTCCATCGTTAAAGAGACGATGGCTTCGTTTTCCGTTATATCCTCAATCATTCCAAAAAGCCCCCTCGAATCTCTGTGAATGATTTTCACCCCATCGCCTATCTGAAGGATCCTGGCTGACATTCTAGCCATTGTGTGCTGTCGGACATTGAGAGGAATGTCCGAGCAGGCGCTAAAAAGTTCGAATTCCCTCGATGTCGGTACTACATCTTCTGCAGTGTACCAATCCGTATCGACTTCCAAGAAATATGCATACCCGTCAGCATCGTACAATACTCTGTGGAATAAAGACAAGCTGTTGCGCTCTCCTCCAAACCACCTTCAAAAAACACTCTACCAGGTAGAGCTTTCCAGCCAAAGACCGCTGGGGGTCGAAACCACGCAGGAAACCTAGGGTCCATGAGCTGCTGATGGACTCGACAGACTATCTGCTCCTCATATCCAGGCTAAGTAGAAAGTCATTACAAACATGAGCTTCAAAGATTGGATTAGTGTTACCTTGACAAGCACCACCCATAAAGATGCCTTTCCAATATCTTGAACATCTTCTTCCGCAATATGTTGATGAGCCGTGACATGCTCGAGAAAGCTTTCCCAAAATGCGTCGTCATTGGATGGCATCAATGCTTTGCGAAGAAGGTTGCGGTGCACATCTCCCGAGATCGACTCATCAATGTCTTCATCATCGTTGATAAGATCACCTTGAAAAGAATTAGAAGTCTACTAACTATCATTACAAATGTATGATACACACTTTCGTTGCCGTCATTCTCATCATTGGTTTCTGCCTCTGATACTTCAGCTTCGAGATCTAAGAATTGAAGAGCTTGCGGCGTCTATTGCGTGATTAGCTTGCTAAGAAATCTCACAAGAATAAAGAGAACTTGCCTCAAGTTTTCTATGTTTTGTTGGTCTCTCAGTGTATTCTGCTTCCATGATGATTTCCTGGTATTTCTATTACATTAGAGTCATCTAGAGTTCATTTACTAGCATGCACAAACATTTCTAAAAGCTATTTACTCTACAAACTACACGGATGGTGCACGAAGATGGGAAAGAAGCTTGAAATGGTTGGCAGGCTGTTTATGTTTCGTTGATTTTAGGGCCAGTTGCTTTCCATCACGTGGGCACCACTGTTCACCGAAAAGGACAGCCATGGCGGTGTTCTGTCGTGGGCTGAATAAAAGAAGTTATTCGTTTAGTTACAATGAGATAGGTAGGCATTGAAGGCATACCTGTTGTCCTCGTTGTAATCAATGGGAGGGGGAACTTATTGTGCCTTGTATTTGTGACAATGCATTTTAATTATATAGGTACAATGATATAATATATAAAGATGGTATTAGTCTAACCTTCTTTGTAGTCTATAAATGTTGTTGAATACCCAGAATTTTGACAGCACCTCTTGCTTTTATGTGAGGACCTCGAGGACAAAAACATTCCCTGCCGAACAAAGATGTGCAAATCCAGTATCAAGGCATGGCATGCATATTTCAAGGTCCTAAAACAGGAATTAGCAGTATGTTGTTTCAATTGACCGCTTTGTTTCCTTGTATTCACTGATCGCTCTAGGATGTGCCAGGACGCATTTCCTACACGGCGGATATTTGGTCAACAAAAGCTCGGTACCCATACCTGGCCATTACCGCACATTGGATACAGAGAGACAAGTCTACCAAGGGTCTTCAGCTGTGTTCTACACTCATCGCATTTCACCGTCTTCGAGGAAGCCACAACGGGAAGAGGCTAGCAAGGATTGTCCTCCATCTCTTGGATCAAGTTGGGATCACAGTCAAGGCATGTCTATGTTTCATTTTCTTTCCCTTTTCTACTTTATGCTTACATGCACAGGGAGGCCATTGGACTCTTGATAACTGCTTGCTAAATGATGCTTTCCTCAGAGAACTCGAGTTACTTTTACGCCCTCGTGACATTAAGTTTAATCACAAGGAGAATCACAGCATTGATGCATTTACTGATATCACCCTGGTAGATGATACAGGGGGATTCGTTGCATCCACATCAGGCCCTCCAAGTGATCCCGATAATCAGAGCTATGAAGAAGCAATTGCTCGCGACCCAATTGCATTGTGCCGGAGTACTGTACAAGCAGTACGTGCCTCAGGTCAACAACGTGACCACCTGGCAGCCATGACTATACAGGTTAAGCAGGCACAACTTATACGTATCATGAAGGTTCGGTGGGACTCTCTTTACTTCATGATCAATCGGTTTCATAAACTACGCCTGGTACGTTTGAACTCTATCATTTTATAAGTGTATACTTATGAAAGTAGGCCGTCGAGTATTTTCTTTCTTTGCCCGTCAATAGAGAGCTTGCGAAACTTAGACTTACTGATATGGAATGGACTATACTCCAGGATTTTGAGATCGTACTGGGTGTATGTCTCTAATATTGATACCTGTTCAAGGCTAAGTCTTTTTCTTAGGTACCCCATCAAGTGCAGAAAATCATGTCGAAAGAGCGCACTCCCATTTTATCAGGCGCAATTCCCACGTTCGAAATGTTCATGACAGCATGGGAGCAACTTGGGAGAGAACACCCCCACTTGGCCTGATGGACGGATATTGGTATCGACTGGGTGACAACTTACTACAAGAAAATGCATGATTCGCCTGCCTACGTTATTGCAATGTGTGAGTTAAGGTTCAAATTCATAGATCATTTAATAACTTGACATCATCAGTTCTCAATCCCTCAATACATTTGTTGTGGATTCGACGACACTGGGAGCCTAATTATGTTGCCAGGGCCACTGTAATTATAAAGAATACCATAAGTGTCTCAGTTTGTTATGGTGACAGTACGCTAACATACTTGTTGCAGATGCAAAAATACCATGACTGTCTTCATGGACAAGTTCAACAACCTACACCTGGTACAGCGGCCTTGCAGCAACAGAGGCGAAGCTGGCATGACTTAGCTGGACAATATGGGCTCGAAGATATGATGGATGTTTCGAGTGCTTCTTCGCAGCAGGTCCAAGGAGTTGAAGAACAGTTTGAGTCGTACAAAAATGGGCCACTCTCACCGCGTGGCACAGATATTGTAGCGTTTTGGGCGGTAAGTACAATGCCTCACTATTTTCCAATTTGCGTCACTGATTTGTTTACAGATAGGCGATAAAACTCATCCAATATTATACGCGATGGCATTAGATTATTTACCCATTCAAGCATCCTCGGTTCCTTCCAAGCGCGTTTTTTCATCCAGTGCTGAAACTGATACAAAGAGGCGAAATCGAATCCACCCTGTTCTAATGGAGGTGCTTCAAATGTTAAAATTTTTGCTCAAGCAGCAATGGCTAAACTTTACGGAGGGATGAGCTGTCACAGAAGATGAACTTGAGTACTACGCAGATGATGACAAAGATGCAGTGGATTTGTTAGGGAAGCTAACTTCAGAAATTACGGAGGATGGTATAGATATTGATGAGGTAATTCACGTTGTTGGACAGGATGACGAGGATTGATAGAGATATTATTGTATACAACTTTACTTACCATCACAATGTACATTCTCCTCGAATTCTATTACATATTTACCCTCATTCTACTTAATGCGCAAGTCATCAATTGCTGCAACATTTACCAGCTATAACCGGTTCGAAGCCCAATACTTATCACTCCCCCACCTATTCCTACTGGACTTCAACAAAATTTCCAAAAAGGCATTTTCACATTCCCTTCCTACTGGACTCCTGCTGGACTCCCACTGGACTCCTACTGGACTCCAACTGAACTTAAACAAATTAGATGAAATGCTCCAGACATTGGATTCCTACTGGATTCCCACTGGAATATCAATTTCAATGTATTACCAAGTCAGAACTTCAAATTTCTATTCAAAATTCACATTTAAACAAATGTTGTATTGTGAAATGACAACTAAATACAGAAAGATATTTTACTAATGTAATGAGGGAGAGGGAGGGAGTGGTGGAGTGATGGTGGGAGTGGAGGAGTGATGGAGGGAGTGGTGGAGGGAGAGAGCTATGGAAGGAGGGGAAGTGAGTGAAGTGAAATGATGGAGGGGGGAGGGGGTGAGAGAGGTGGAGAGAGGAAGAGAGGGAGGGAGGGAGGAAGAGAGGGAGGGAGGGAGAGAGAGAAGGATGGAGGGAGAGAGAGGGAGGGAGCGAGGGAGGGAGGGAGAGAGGGAGGGAGGGAGAGAGGGAGCGAGGGAGAGAGGGAGGGAGCGAGGGAGGGAGGGAGGGAGAGAGGGAGTCATTGTTTTGTGGGTGCCGTGTCATTTGCACACATAGGCGGGGTGTTTTTTGAGGGCGGCGGTCGTCATTTGCATGGGCAGCAGATGTCGTTTGTGGGTGCTGGGTGTTTTTTGTGGGCGGCGGTCGTCGTTTGGGTGTGCTGGGTGTTTTTCATGGGTGGCGGGCGTTGTTTGTAGTGGTGGGTGTTATGGTCGTCGTTGGCGAGTGGGAGGGGGTCATCGCTGTCCCTCGTCTTTCTTGTTTGTCGTGTCGGTGGGCGCTCGTGGTTTGTGGGTGGTTGTCGTGTCCGTGGGTGGGGTCGTCGTTGTGTGCCGTGGTTGTTTGTTGTTGTCGTCTGTCGTGGCCCGTTGTTGTTGTCATGGTCGCGTGTTGTCATCGTCCATTGTGGTCGTGGTGGTCGCTATTGACGAGGCGATGGTGGTGATGAGGCAACGTGTTCGTGGGTGAGCAAGAGGGTGTTGTCGAGTGTTGTTGGGTTTGGGCAAAATTCCCACTCACGGAATTCACCGACGTCCTTTCTAGGAAGGAGGTCAGTACATTGGTATATAGAGTATATAATACTTAGTCCAAAGTGATCAAAATACAACAGGGAGTGGAAAAGGTAAGACATCCAGGAGCTGGTTGAACAACATGGTATGGGTGGTACCATCACACTAAGATACCTCCATCTTATCCTCAGTTTTCTCGACCTTCTGTATCCAAGCTCCCCTCTCCAAACCATTGGTTGGGCTTTCTCCCTAGCACCATTGAAAGCCCTCAGGAAGTGTGTAAGTCGCACTCCATGGGCACTCTGAACACTTTAGAATGCTTGATTGCTGTCTCGTAAACTTGGGAGATGTAGTTTTGAGGCCCCTGCATTCTGGGCACAGATTGGAGCTGGAGTATTGTTGCCCATTGGGCAAGCACCTGGGTGGTTCCATCGAAATGTGGTAATGGTGTTTGGTTGGAATAAAACAATGTGGGTATGAGCCCCAAGGGCTTGTTGCTCTCGAAGGACATTGATTAGCCCAATCCAATCATGAACATAGTTCTGCAGAGCCAAGTCCATCACAAATTTATGGGTGGATGATGGCTGGAAGTTAGGTTGCAAAAAACAGAGAATTTTGTCGAAGAGGTCTCTGAGAAATAAATGTCAAAATTCATCTTTCATATCATGGATAAAAACGTACTGAGCAGCTATGCCTTTTACAGCATCCCTGGAGTCAGGCTGACTTGATAGGGCCCCAAAAGACACCAAATTCAGAATATTTTTGCTTTTCTCCCTTTTCAGCAGATTACAAAAATGCTCTGGAAAAAGAACCACCCACAGCTGCAATGGAACATAATAGATTAGAATAGTGGCCAAGAAACAAGATATACTGACCTGATCAACAGGTGCTGCACTTGTATTGTTTGGGGCTGTGTGCAGGTCCCCTGATTCTGGAACAGAGTGGGTTGTAATAACAACCAAGAACTGAGTCCACCTCATTGAAATATTAGCTTCAGAAAAGCAATGTTGAAGTCACATACTCTTGAAGCATGTTTTCCAACTGGGAGTTGAAATGCTTTCTTGGCTTGTTAAAGTTGAACATCAAATTTATGAGTACCAGATTGCCATGAAGATAAGGGGCTAAATGGTGGTAGGTGAGAATGGATGGTGAGTCTGTGATCCCCGGAAGGTGAATTGAGATGATAGCCAAGGGAGTTGTGTTCATCTTTGGCCAGTTTTCTCTACCAGCACCACAGGATTGGAATTTCCATGGCTAGGGTGAAATAAATATTAGTGAGAAGGAAATTAAATCAAAAACATACATTTGTTCTTTCTAAACAAGATACAATCTAACATGTTCAATCTACAGCAATGACTGCTGCTACCACTGATACACAAACAAGTGGTGCTGGACCATCATCATATGTGGCTGGACAGTCTGACATAATACCTGATGCTAGTACCAAAGGTATGCCATCTGTTCTATTATTCGAATTTGGGTAATCCAATTCACCTGCAGATGCGACTATGGAATGGAGTTTGATGGCTCAGACCCCCACCCCTCCTTTGACTCAGGTCGATCTTCCTGCTGCCAATGCCCTGAATGTTTCGTTTGACAACCTAACATTTGGTGACCCTTGGAGTTTTAATTCCCATAATCTCAACTTTTAAGCACCATAGCGTCCTCTTTCTCCACAATACTCTCTTTGCCTCACAATCACATCCATCTGCTCTCACCTTGCTCGCAGTCAGCATCATGTCTCCTCATCACAATTGCATCCACTCTCTCTCCATCACATTTACTCACTCTCTTATTGCATCATTCCTCTCATACTAGCTGATATTCTACCATAATCTCTCTCTAATATTCTCTCAATCCTCCAATCATTGTACAAAGTCACATCGTCTTGAAAAATGACCAAAATAGCACAAAATGACCATTTTCTGGAGGCTCTACAAGCATAACCACTCAGTATTTTTAACTAATTCTTTGATAGGCTCATTCAGGTTGACCAGAGGTATGTTCTGGCTACCTCCCCAGTTAGCACATATTCTTTTTTTCAGATGCCAAAAATGGCCTCCAGAATAAAAACCTTCTCAAGGCTCCAGCTTTCACTGAAATTAGTCCATACCAAGGGAAGTGTAACACAACTACATAATGTAAAAGAATACACAAATACATTTGAGGTACAATAGATTCTTAGAAAGAACCAGAAAAATGAACCAACCTTCATTCTTTTTGCACTCAACTGTATGTCCTTTCTGTTTTCACCCTACCTCAGTCAAATCTTGATGGAATTGCTTAGATATTTGATCAGTCTACGGAGAATTAAGATATCTATCTATGTATGCAATGTACATGAGGTAATATTTAGTTTCTGTGGTGTAATAAATTTTACAACAAAAGACCGGTCGCAACTGGTCTGAACTGGTCTTTTTCGTGTTGTGGACCGATTAGGACCAGTCCAAAGCGGTCCGGTTGTACTGGACCTGTGAACACTACACTTGATGTTAATATTTTCACTTTGGATGGTGTTGTTATGGGTCCACAGGTTTATCTACCTAATTGATTTGATTTTAATTATATTGATCCCCTGCTTAGATTTGTGCTTTTGACAATTGCACTAATGACCTTCTTAATGCTCGAGGTGGTGCACATGAAGCCTTACTTGCAAACAAATGTTGCATGGTTGGCTGTTCTAAAGATAAAATACAAGGAACACAAGCTTGTAATGAACATGTGGCTGACTGGAAGAAAAGTGTTCAAGATCGTAGTAAAGCCACTAATAATGGTATTTGATGTGTTCTTCAACGTCCTGTTGAATGTCAAGAATGGCAAAATATTCCTGATGCTACTATTCAACAGCCACATGATGATGAGGTTGATGCAAATGAGGCTAAAAACCCTCAACCATCAATAAAGCAAAAGACATACTTCTCACCTAATGATTCATATTGTGTTGAAACAGCATGTGCACCATGTGGAGTTGTCATGGCATGGACCAAATGTCCAAAATCTGAATCTCCAACTAATATTCTTAATTGGCTTGATGAAATATTTCCTAATAAGGAGGATTGACCTGCTTATATATGCATTGATAAAGCATGTCAAGTTACGAGTCCTCTGAGTTTACGAAGAGACTCGTTTATTACCCGGGATCTCAGGACTTTTTTCAGCGCGGTAACGCTGAAATTTGACTTTCTCCCACGAAAGTGATTTCTTCCCACGATCATCTGCTTGGTTCGCCTACATGACTTTCCTAGTCTACTTGACCATTCCTTGATTATTACTGTCTTTTAGCCCTATCCAGGTTGTCGTTGATGTAGCTTGTGGCTAATATATTGCTCTATTTGGCTTCCAGACTCTGATGAATGAATGCATTGCCTCTATTTTCATGTTCATGCAACTCAACTTGTTTACATTGAAGGTACAACAATTAAGGTCCTGACAACTTGTGCAAATGAGCCCATGCTCTGGTGAAACAGGCCACAGGAATGTACTGAGCAGTTGGTGAGCATAAGGCAAAAAAGCGAAAATACAAACCTACTTACCTGGATGGGAACTCAACCATTTTGTAAATGGCTTTGTGGAGCATGTTTGTGGAGTGTGTAGGTATCGAATCAAGTCCACGCTCATGCGAAACGGACCACAGGAAGGTACTGAACAATTGGTGAGCATAAGGCAAAAAAGCGAAAATACAAACCTACTTACCTCCATGGGAAGTTGACTGTTTTGTAAACAGTTTTGTGGAGCTTGTTCGTGGAATGCGTAGGTATTGAATCGAGTCAATGCTCAAGCAAAATGGACTGCAGGAAGGTACTGAGAAGTTGTGAGCATAATGGTGAATATTCCGCATCAAAAGGAACGACTCACAAGTTGAGTCACGGAAATTTCCGAAAATGACGTACTTCCCTTGCGGGCTACCTTCAAAATGGAAGGTAGCCCGCAAGGGAAGTACGTCATTTTCGGGCAATGCCGTGACTCGTCTTTTTGCCCTTATGCCAACCTCTGCCCAGGACCTTCCTGTGGCTCGATTCGCTTCAACGTAGACTCGTTTGGATAGTGCTTCACGTCCCGAAAACGCTCCAAGAGACCGTTTACGAAACCGTCAACTCTTCGTGGAGGTACGTCTGTTTGTACTTTCGTGTTTTTGCACTTCTGCTAAACTCTGCCCAAGGCCTTCCTGTGCCTCGATTTCCCTCAACGTAGACTCGTTTGGATACTACTTCATGGCCCGAAAACGTTCCGACAAACCGTTTACGAAACCGTCAACTCCTCGTGGAGGTACGTCTGTTTGTACTTTCGTGTTTTTGCACTTCTGCTAAACTCTGCCCAAGGCCTTCCTGTGCCTCGATTTCCCTCAACGTAGACTCGTTTGGATACTACTTCATTTCCCGAAAACACTCCGACAAACCGTTTACGAAACCGTCAACTCTTCGTGGAGGTACGTCTGTTTGTATTTTCGTGTTTTTGCACTTCTGCTAAACTCTGCCCAAGACCTTCCTGTGTCTCGATTTCCTTCAACGTAGACTCGTTTGGATACTACTACACGTCCCGAAGACGCTCCAACAAACCATTTACGAATCCGTCATCCCTTCGTGGAGGTACGTCAGTTTCTAATTTTGTGTTTTTGCACTTATGCCCTACTCTACCCAAGACCTTCCTGTGGCTCGATTTCATTCAACGTAGACACGTTTAGACACTACTACACATCGTGAAAACGATCCAACAAACCGTTTACGAATCCATCAACTCTTCGTGGAGGTACGTCTGTTTGTATTTTCGTGTTTTTGCACTTCTGCTAAACTCTGCCCAAGGCCTTCCTGTGCCTCGATTTCCCTCAACGTAGACTCGTTTGGATACTACTTCATGTCCCGAAAACGCTCCGACAAACCGTTTACGAAACCGTCAACTCTTCGTGGAGGTACGTCTGTTTGTATTTTCGTGTTTTTGCACTTCTGCTAAACTCTGCCCAAGACCTTCCTGTGCCTCAATTTCCTTCAACGTAGACTCGTTTGGATACTACTTCATGTCCTGAAAACGCTCCGACAAGCCGTTTACGAAACCGTCAACTCTTCGTGGAGGTACGTCTGTTTGTATTTTCGTGTTTTTGCACTTCTGCTAAACTCTGCCCAAGACCTTCCTGTGTCTCAATTTCCTTCAACGTAGACTCGTTTGGATACTACCTTACGTCCCGAAAACGCTCTGACAAACCGTTTATGAATCCGTCAACTCTTCGTGGAGGTACGTCTGTTTGTACTTTCGTGTTTTCACACTTCTGCTAAACTCTGCCCAAGACCTTCCTGTTCTCGATTTCCCTCAATGTAGACTCGTTTGGATACTACTACACGTCCCGAAGACGCTCCAACAAACCATTTACGAATCCATCATCCCTTCGTGGAGGTACGTCAGTTTGTAATTTTGTGTTTTTGCACTTATGCCCTACTCTACCCAAGACCTTCCTGTGGCTCGATTTCATTCAACGTAGACACGTTTAGACACTACTACACATCGTGAAAACGATCCAACAAACCGTTTACGAATCCATCACCCTTCGTGGAGGTACGTCTGTTTGTAATTTCGTGTCTTTTGAACTTATGCTAAACTCTGCCAAGACCTTCCTGTGGCTTGATTCCCTTCAGTGTAGACTTGTTTTGATACTACTACATGTGTGCAAGTAGTAGATGTGTGCAAGTAGTAGAATAGCAGTGGGTACCCTTCACACCTTTAACACCAGTCTGTTCAATGGTGGCACCCCCGCAACACAGTTGATGGTGATTGAATCCATGTGCTTGGATCTTGGCGCTTAGCATGCGTGCAATGAAGAGGAAATGGTGGCATTGGAGAACCCAGTGAATTACTCCACAAGACGAACATGGTTGAAGTGTTTGGACTGGCCAAGACAACAGGGGAACAGGGAGAAATTGACCAAAACTCCATGCAAACCGACAGCTTCAGCATCCTTGCGGACCGCCTCGAAGACGGCGACAAAAGGTTCAAAAACCTATACAGCTCCCTCGTAGAAGCCGGCAGCCTTGTGCAATCCCTGGAAAGCGATGGAATGCTGGGCATTGTAAAGGCCGACCCAAAAATCACAGGATGCCTGACAGGCTTGTCTAATGCCGTCTTAGAACAGCCCTACAAAATCATCATGGAACAACAGGCGACACTCACACAGGCAATGCACGAGGTCATCAGGACCATGGCCTCACACATGGAGAAAACCGAAGCCATCGGAGACAAAGTCGAGCGTATGAGGGAAGAGGCAACATTCAACTTCTCGGCAATGGCTGAGCAGCTCAAGGTGCTCGAAACAGCAAATAACGCCACCCAAACCCAATTCAAAACCCTCGATGAGATAGTAGGAAACACAAGCCCACAGAACACGGGAACGGCATGGTGAAGCTGGCATATTGCTCAATGAGACAATTGTGGTAGATACATGGCACTTGAATCATTTGGATTGGCCAAGATGATGATGAGTGTGCAAAGGAGACAGATATGCAGTAGATATGTCGCACAAATCATTTGGACTGGCCAAGATGAAGAGCGCTCAGCAAAACACCAGAGCGCACCACAAAGAGAGGGTGCTGTGGCAAAGAGAAGGTGCCATGGAAAGTTGAACTTGAAGAGCTAGATTTGATGACGCACGAACATTTCCTGATCATTTGATGGGGGGAAGTTTCGTGCGTCATCGGAATCTATGATGAATACTACCGAAGTTGCACAGCCTCAGTACAAATGTTCAAGATTCTATGATGCACGAACATTTCCCGATCATTTGATGGGGGGAAGTTTCATGTGTCGTCGGAATCTGTGATGCCAAGAGGACAAGAGATGAGAGATGAGATCTAAAACTTACCCCCTGAGATCTGGCCCCCTGCATTTGTATATTGTGGCAAAGATTGTTTAAAAAGGAAATAGATCATGTCATCTACTTCAGAAATACATGCTATAGCTCAATTAGAGATTCTGTGCACCCTATAACATCCCAAAGTCAACATTGAAATGACTCCCACTTATTTGTGAATATTTGTTACTGTTTAACCTGTATATCAATAGTCTTTTAAGTATCAGCATAGATCAGATGTAAAATTTATCATCTATTTCGTTTTTGCAACTGTTTATTTGTGTTTGTTTACCAGGAACATAACATCACCATGACCACGGAAATGAGGAGTACCCATCACAAAAGAAATCATGTCATTTGGATCAAAACTCGCTGAGTTATACATGAATCTGTATTTATTACTGAAAATGGTAACTGATCTGAGATCTACTATGTATGACGCACGAAACTGTCCCCCATCAAGCGATCGGGAAATGTTCGTGCGTCATCGCTTCTTGAGTTCCAAGCATTGCCTAAAGAAAAATGTGTAACTTTACCAAATCAAGTCCAATTCAGATGAAATAAAATGCAGAAAAAATGTAAAATTTCAGGGATCATACCTGTATACAATTCATTATGTAATAAGGTCAAAGTCCAAATAAACATACTTTTTCAAAGAAGAATCTGAAGCTCACCAACATAAAATCTAAAATAAATGAAATAAAACACCAAGAAAAATACAGTTTGTTTTTATGTATATTATGTAATAAAAGCTATGTGCACAAATAGATATATGTTTGCACAAAATCAAGCTAATGCAAGCTTTTTCAAATGAAGAAGTAGCAATAAATTGGCACAAAAATTAGAAGAAAATGGCTGATGGTGCTCACTGTTGGTGACAACATTTGAAAACACTCTCAGGGTCTCTGGTAAATTTCCATATATGGCACTCAGCCTTTGTCCAACTGAAAAATAGCAATTAAATGGCAGAAAAAATGGAAAACAATTGAAGAATGGTGCTAACTGTTGATGTTGATGTTAGGACTGTTTCAAGGGTCCCAGGTGCATTTCCTTATATGGAAATTTATTCAACAATTGCCAGAAAATAACATGAAAATCAGAGAAAGTTGGAATATGGTGCTCATTGTTAGCAATGATGTTATGAGTTCTCTGAGTTTATAAAGACACTAGTTTGTTACTCTCTGATCTCAAGGATTTTTTCAGTACTTCTAACACTGAATATTGCCTTTCTTCCCATAAGATTTGATGGTTTGATGATGTTGTCAAACATTTTTTGAAAGGAAAAATAGCGATAAAAACAGAAGACAAATCAGGAACAAATGGGGGACAATATGCATTGTTGATGACAATGTTGGGGACCATTTTCAGAGTACATGGCATATTTTCAACGGAGGTAATGTGCACTTTTTGAATCAAAAAATGGCAATATAATAGTAGAAAAATCAGAAAGAAATTGAAGGAAGATGCTCACTGTTTGTGCAATACTGGGGAGCATGTTCAGGGTCCAGAAGAAAATTCCATACATAATAATGTAGTTACAAATAGCTATAAAGGACTGGAAAAATTTACTGAAAAATGGGCATACTACTTATTGTTGCTTTCAAGGTAGGGACTCTCTGTAAGGTCCAGTATTTTATATACATGGAAATATACAATTTGTCCAATAAAAAATAGCAATAATATATATATATAATGGGTATAGATCTGATGGGCTTTCAGGAGGTGGTCACATGACCAGTTTCCTAAATAATCAAAAATGTGAATGCTGTGGTGCTGCATTGTGGCTTCTTCAATATAAAAAGGACTCGTATCTGCCATGCTTGCAATGGCCCTCTTACACAAGTCTTCAAGATAGCTGTTGGAAGTACAAGGTGGAAAGATTGGACAGACACAACTTGATTTATTGTTGACACATATCACTATAACAATCACTGTGCCACAGATGAAATTTGTCAAAAATGGTGTAATCCTGCACCAAATCTTGTGGGGGAAAAAATTGATGAGGGGAGTGATGAGGAGGGCAGTGATGAGAAAAGCAGTGACAAGGACAGCAATGAGGAAGAAAGCAATGAGGAAAGTGATTCTACAAATAGCAGTGATCATTGATATGGATGAAACCATTTCACCTGTATAAAATTCGATTTTAATGATTTTACCAATGAAGGTCATCTCTAATAAATACACTACATACAATTGCAATGATGCAAAGAGTCAATGCACATACCTGTCTCAGTTGACTAAAAATGCAAATGCGTGGAATCTGAAAATAGGACTAAGGCTTTGGAACTGGCAGCAGTACACATTGTGACATTATACTTGGATTGTATCTGGTTACCTACCATGAAATAGGGCACAAAGAGGCTCTAGAGTAAACACCCAGCGCAGGGAGAAGAATTGCATTACTACCAAAGGGTTTAGAAACACATAATGGATTTATCGTGGAAACTTGTGCTTATACAAGAAATACAGAAAAGACGACATAGATGCCTAAACGGTATGTCTGAAACATTTAAAGACTAAACTACACCTAAGAAGTAAACGTGTGCAGACTTAGCATGGCTCGCGGCCATTCAGAAAGTCATGTATGGCAATTCCCGCATACACATCAAAGACTGATGTGTCTGAACGTCACAAATACAAACATGGGAAAAAAACACATTCTATTATATGAAATATAATAAGAACCCCCTGACAATTAAGAAAGACATTTGAAAACACCTTCAGAGTGTCTCCCGACCTCTGTAATGAAAAGACAAGCCAAGACAAGGCATTTTAAACCAGTAACCGGGCCATAGAAAAGAAACACACGAGATCATGCCAAGCTAAGAATAGCTACATCGGCTAACTCCACGTACACATCAAACACAGATGTATTTGAAAATGAAAGACACGACACTACAAAATCTGTAGTGTTCACAGAGATAGACTACAAAATACACCACACGTTCACTAAATTTCATACTTGTAATTCGGACTGAAGTATCCCACATTAAAAACACATGTAAAACATAGATAGGGCTTTCTGGAGTATATAAGGAGTGAGCTAGCAGGTCAAAAGGCAAGCAATCACCCCCCATTGACCAGCTAGTTGCACTCCAAGTAAGAGACTTAGGAGGTGGACAGTTGTAATCAATTAAAAGGAGATTTCTTCGTGGTCAGAAAAGTGCAGTGTGAACAAAGCCAGCATGCTTGGGAGTCAACTTGCTTGGAGACTTTTGAATAAGAGGTTTTAAGGACACAGTATCATTTAGATGAGACAGTGTACTTGTACCCTTAGTTTTGGAGCGTAGTGACATAATAAAAACTCACGGGAGTCATAAAAGTCAATTGAAGTTGTTTTTTGTGTTAATAAAAGAAACTGTGATCAAAGAACTTTGCATTTAAGAGACCAAGTTCCCAGAAAGACATACTTTGTTCTATTGAACTATTCTAAACCACACCTTATAATAAAAACCCATTTTGAACAAAATCTCTTGAGACTTAAACTAAGAAGATGAAAGTGGTATTTCTCAATACCAAAAGCCCTCGAACTCATGCACTGAGATTGTGATAGTGTGTGTGTGTGTGTGTGTGTGTGTGTGTTTAGGTGTTTAGGGTTTTCCTGACACACTTGATTCTTGTTTGTGTGTTTTGCACTTTCATGGTCATCCCCATGCAACATGTATCATCATGATATGCATCTTTCAGATTAAGTATATATTTAGTAGGAGTAGTTACTGACAAATCAGTTCACAGTATGTAGCTAGTCCAGCTTTGTGTTAAATACAGATAATAGTGTAATGGAGTCCATATTGAATATGGTTGACAAAGTTGGCAGTCCAGTCCAGTTTTATATTGGATACAGTTGACAGTCCAGCAGAGTCCAGTTTTGTGTTGGGTGCAGCAGTGGAGTCCAGTCCAGTCCAGTTTTGTGTTAGATACAGTTGTCAGTCCAGTCCAGTTTTGTGTAAGACACAGTTGCCAGTCCACTGGAGTCCAGTTTTGTGACAGTATGTAGTGAAGTCTCAATATATAGTGAAGGCCAGTGAAGGCCAGTGGAATCCAGTGGAGTCCATGTGGATTATGTGGGGGATGGTAAAGTATTGCTCAAGTGGCTTGGATGACTCTTCCAGGCCCAGGCAAATCCAGGGTGAGTTATCTCTGAACTGCAATACTTTTGTCACTCACCCATCTGCAAAGGGGCCATTTCAGCATGCCTTTTTCCTCCAACTCATTCGCCAAGTCCTCTCATCAGAGGCTCCTTTCAGCCTGAAGCAGGACCCGGACATGCACCCCAAGGCAGCTTTTAGGTTTTCCATGCATTTTTGGTGGCATTACCAAAGAGCTAGTTGGATCAATGGCTGGTATGGTATGTGTCTTTTTCCTTTCTGGCAGTTGCCCCATCCCCATCTTCTAATCTTCTCTATAGATATTCTTCCTGAGGCTCCTGCATAGTCAGTAGAGCATTGAAGTTGGTGGTCAGATTGTGAAAGTAGGTGCCATGCTGCAGCACCGCTTCAGTGAGGTACTTTGCCTGCGTGCTGCAGAGGTTGTAATGCATTTGCAACACCTGTAGCATTGCAAAGAGTGTCAGTGTTGGGTTTCACTCCCCCCAGTGGCCAGTGACTCACCTCTGACTGTTGGCTTGTACCAGTCTTTGCCAGCATGCAGTTTGAAGTGTGGCGAATGCCATGTGGAGGGGACTGAGTATGCAGTACATCAAACTGAAGTCTGGCTGTATGCATGTAGGACTTATTTAAGTATGAAACACCACATATGAGTGGGATCATTCCTGAGAATGGCAAGGTGAGGTTTATGAGTAATAATGAGTGTATGTGCAAAGATCAGGAGCACTGGGATCATTTGAGAGAACCTGAACAGGACATTACTACCTAAACTAGATGTATTACATGTTTTCAAGTGATGCCTCCACATATACATCCATATACCTGCACTCAATGGAAGAGCTTGAGGAATATCAGAGCTCTTGCCTTTTGTTTGGTGCTAAATGGGGACGAGGCTGAAGTGGTGTGAGTACAAGAATAAAATTTGGCAGGGAGGCCTGCTATCTTTTAAATTCTGGTGCCTTGTCATTCCAGCAGAATTTGGGCATTCTGTATTTGATACCGGAATGTTCCACGGAATTTGCAGGAATGGAACAGAATGAACAGAACATGTTTGGCTGTCCCTTGTTTGTTTATTTCACACATGTTACCAAACAAACCTAACATTCCTTTCCACCCCACACCATCATCCTCTTCCTCGCCACCTCCCTTTCTGACTGCTGATACCCTTTGCACGGGGATGAACGTGAAAGTGCGAAACAGGCAAACAAGGATCAAGCGCATCGGGGGAAAACCCTAAACACCTAACACTCACTCACACACACACACACACACTATCACAATCTCGGTGCAAGAGTTCGAGGGCCTTTGGTATTAAGAAATACCACTTTTGTCTTCTTAGGTTCAAGTCTCAAGAGTTTTCGTTCAAAATTGGGTTTTTATTATAAGGCGTGGTTTAGAATAGTTCAATAGAACAAAGTATATCTTTCTGGGAACTTGGTCTCTTAAATGCAAAGTTCTTTGATCACAGTTTCTTTAATTAACACAAAACACGACTTTAATTGACTTTTATGACTCCCGTGAGTTTTTATTATGTCACTACGCTCCAAAACCAAGGGTACGAGTACGCTGTCTCGTCTAAAATGATACTGTGTCCTTAAAACCTCTTATTCAAAAGTCTCCAAGCAAGTTGACTCCCAAGCACGCTGGCTTCGTTCACACTGTACTTTTCTTGACCACGAAGAAATCTCCTTTAATTGATTACAACTGTCCACCTCCTAAGTCTCTACTTGGAGTGCAACTAGCTGGTCAACGGGGGACGATTGCTTCCTTTTTGACCTGCCAGCGCGCTCCTTATATACTCCAGGAACCCCTATCTATGTTTTACATGTGTTTTAATGCGGGATACTTCGGTCCGAATTACAAATATGAAATTTAATGAACGTGTGGTATATTTTGTAGTCTATCTCTGTGAACACTACAGATTTTGTAGTGTCGCGTCTTTCATTTTCAAACGCATCAAGTGTTTGATGCGTACGCGGAGTTAGCCGACGTAGCTATTCTTAGCTTGGCATGATCTCGCGTGTTTCTTTCTATGGCCCGGTTTACCAGTTTGACAGATGACATCACAAAATGATTAACGTTTCCTGATGCGTTGATGCGCATGCGTACGCGTTTACCAATAGTCTTCGGCCTTCCGTCGCTTCCGAGTTTTTAATTAAAATGCCTTGTCTTGGCTCGTCTTTTCATTACGGAGGTCGGGAGACACTCCGAAGGTGTTTTCAAATGTCTTTCTTAATTGTCAGGGGGTTCTTATTATATTTCATATAATAGAATGTGTCTTTTTCTCATGTTTGTACTTGTGACGTTCAGACGCATCAGTCTTTGATGCGTACGCGGGAACTGCCGTACATGACTTTCTGAATGGCCGGGAGCCACGCTAAGTCTTCATACGTTTACTACCTAGGTGTAGTTTAGTCTTTCCATGTTTCAGACATGCCGTTTAAGCGTCTATGTCGTCTTTTCTGTATTTCTTGTATAAGCACGAGTTTTCACAATAAATCCATTATGTGTTTCTAAACCCTTTGGTAGTAATGCAATTCTTCTCCCTGCGTTGGGTGTTTACTCTAGAACCTCTTCGTGCTCTATTTCATGGTAGGTGAATCTTAGATAGGATCCAAGTATAATGTCACGACGCGTACTGCTGCCAGTTCCAAAGCCTTGTCCTATTTTCAGATTCCACGCATTTGCATTTTTAGTCAACTCCGCCGGGTATGCACATTGACTCTTTGTATCATTGCAATTGTATGTAGTGTATTTATTAGAGATGACCTTTTATCGGTAAAATCGTTAAAATTGAATTTTATATGGGTGAGATGGTTTCATCCGTATCACTGCATCGTACAACGGGGACAACGACAACATGAAACAGATGCTGGCGCAACAATGCAAACACGCCAGCTGCCAAGGTGACACAGCGACGGGGCGATGACGAACGCCAGTGCTCATGGAACGATGTCCAGCACCCACAACACACGACACACATGACAGAACACAAAAACAACCTAACGCCCACGAAAAAATGCCCAACGCCCACGAAAAAACATCTAGCTCCCACGAAAAAACACCCAGTGCCCATGATGGTGCCACCCAGCCCATGCCCAAAGACCAACCCCCACGAGGATGTGTTTGGGCTGACCTTGGGCAATGACAAAGTGCCGAACAAAGGTCTGAGTGCCTTGCTTTTTCTCCACACACTCTGATAGCTGACTCTGAGCCATACAGTCAAGCATAGGGGGTTAGACCACTTTTCTGCACAGCGTGCGAGAAGCAGCATCGTCCAAGGCTCAGAGGGTAGCATATTCATTTCATGAATGGATCTTTTTTGACACTCTGTTCTAGTGGTGTCGAACAGGGTCCTCCCCATGGCTGGTAGCCAAAATCTCAACCCTGCCCGCCAACAAGCCTCATCTGAAGCACTGCTCCCAAGTCAAGTTTCTGCCAGCAATCATGTGTGCAAGAGCCATCCAGCGATGCAGCCGTCCTACCAGCCACCAGATGTTGAGATGGGTTCTGTGGCTGGACTATCCACAGGTCGTGGCTCGACTCATAAGTCAGTTTCGGGTTAGGATAATCAAACTTGTGTACTTTACACTCCTCCACATAGTCCAGTTGGACTCCAGCTGGACTCTGGCAGACTCCAGCTGGATTTCTGGAGTCCAAATGGAGTCCAACTATCATACAACCAAATGTCTATATTTCTGGATCATCCAGGTGGAGTCTGTCTATCTGGAGTCTGTGTTCGTCCTGGATGAACATGCCTGTAGCATGAATAAAGTCTCATGCCCAGAATGTTGACACAACTTATTTATTGCAGTGTTTATCCTGGATGAACACACCTTGAACAAGATATCATGCTCAAGGGTACCATGTGAAATAAGTAATGCTAGTTATTCATTATATATATGCCTACACTCCACTGTTTGTCCCAGACAAACACACCTGTAAGCAAGTTGCATCAGTTATTTCACATGCCAGCCTGTGGCATAAGATTTATTTCAAGCTGTTTCAGCTGTGTTTGTCCAGCATGAACAACTGTGTTATAGGCAACATGTGAGTACATACAATCAAGAGTTCACCTAAATTGTTTCACACCATAGCCCAAATCCGCAAAGTGATATACCCTCAACTTCACCCCAAAGAACTCTTCCGTCTCCATACAGTCCTCTTTGTTACTCAGCCACTTTACCATTTCTGGATACTCTGCTACATGAGGAAAAGTCTTGGTTCAAAAGTCATGCCAAGTTGATTTGCTGATAAAGAGATTCGGAATGTCTCTACCGACAGGCAGTCTAAGTCCAACTGGCCAAGTCCCATCCTTCTGCATCTTCTTGAATTTCTTCTCAGCCTCAAGAAGAGCAAGATACCAAGTGTAATGCTCCTAAAGTTTCAGAGCATTAGCAGTACAGCATAAAGCCACTGGAATCTCAAGAGCATCTGCCATTGCAGTTTGCTCTTGAGTGAAGTGAACTTGAACACCTGGAAGCTGAGCTGAGGCAGAGGCAACAGTAACAGATTGGCTAGTGGTAGCAGGAATAGGAAGACCAGCACTAGCAGCAGAGACAACAACAGTAGATGAGAGACTTGGTAAAGCAAAGTTGCTCTGTGGAATTATTAAATGAGCTCTTTACACTCCTCCACCTAATCCTACTGGACTCCTGGTTTCCTACCAGACTGGACTAGGACTGGGACAATTTTTATGTTGGCTGATCACCATACAGATTTTCTGTCCAGAATCCACCGGAATCTGCCAGAATGACCGGATTCCTGCAGGAATTAGGGGGGCACTGATAAGATCTCATGTAGGGGTACATTTCCGTAGAATATGGTAAAAAGTAATATACCGTTCCAGTGTGAGATGGTATGTGTTCTATGATGAAAACTCAGAACTCATTCAGACATATGTGCATATTTACAATCAAGGTCATCTTGTACTGCTCAGCTTTGTGTTTGATGAGCATGACATCTGGCCCATGAAAAGAAAGCAAGAGGTCAATTGAAATATAAGTCACCAGGTGAGATGGAGAGGGAGGGTAACCTCCTGCATGCTCTCACACATTTTCTGGGTTGTGCAGTCTGTATCAGGTTAGAAATACATCATAAGACAACAAATTGAACCAAGATAATATGGATGAAAAAGGGAATTTTCCTTATTTGGTAAAGCATAGTAAGATTCTTTTCCTCCACTAGACCCATTCTACTATAAACGGAGATAAGCTGACAAATAGTCCTCTTATTTGGTAACCTCAATCCCTCTGTCCTTTGCTCTATAACACTCTGCATGTCCCTCATTCCAGGTGTGTCCATTTCAAAATCTGAAAAGCAGCAATTCAACTTTTTTCTATCAAAACTTCCTTACTTGTGCTTCTTGTAATTACTACCTTGTTGGTTATCCTCTTCTTTCAGGGAGAAAACAGAATGTTGGAACTGTGGTAAATTTTACACTATCACCCCAACCTACCAAGTTGTTTGTAGCCATGAGGAAACAACTTGTGTTTATCGTGACCCCAACTCTGCAAATGTGTCCTGCATCATAGTTCTAGAAAGAGCAGGTAGATATTTCATATGTATCTGTTGTGGAAAGAGGACCAGAGTATGAAAGTGACTTTTTGCTTTGAAATTCCCTCTGACAGCTGCTCATCATTAGTAGGAGCATGCACGCAAATGTTACGGTCCTGCAAATGTGAGCAGGGTCCTTCAAGCTGTGATCCATCTCATTAAGATCCTTCAACCAGCCTGTCAAAGGGAAGGCAAACACACACATGGCCCCACTGCAGATTCCCCTCAATGATGCCACTATGTCTACTCCAAATGAACAGCCATTTGTGCCAAATGATTCTGCAGAGCAAGACAATTCAGGGACACTTGTGATAGTTTCCACCATTTCACCCTTAAGCCATTCTATGAACATCTCAGCTGCATCTGAGGCACCAGTGTCTCATGCAAACTCCAGAGGCAATATCCCTGTAGCTTCCACACTGGGTGGCAGACACACAGAGTGGGGATGCTGTTACCTGGTGTAATGCTCTTGTTATAAACTCTTTTTCTTCATATGTACAGCTGCCCATTATACTTAACAACTGTAACAGCTCTGGTATCCCAGAGGGGAGGCATTAGGACACCTGGCCATATATCGTAGCTGTGACCCAATCCACATATATTTGAGTGATGTGGCTAATAGGGAAGGTACATATGGATGGGTCACAACAAGATATAACTAGAAACAAACAAAGTACAATATTAGCATCCAATGTCATGCAAGGAGCATACTAGGTAATGGACAGCTGTTACAATCCATCTTGGGCTGCATCATAGCTTAGGCCATCTCCACCTCTTATACCAGCAAGTCTCTCTGCTCCACACCCAAACCCCCCTTCTCCCTGCTGAATCCTGCCCACTTCTCACCCATCTCTCCCCTTGACCTCCCAATAAAGACTTCAATGACCATCCACTCAGTAAAAGCAGGAATGACAGATGGTCAACTCCCAGCTTCTATCATTTCTTTGGCCTGTGCAAGAGCTGCAGTACATTCTAAATATCATCCCCAGGCAAGGTGCAGGCCTGTAGCTGAACAATTTGTATAATTAGCATTGATATTAAGCTCTTCAATAAGACACTTTCTCAATGCTGGAGACAGTTTGTCTTTTCCAATGAACCAGTGACCTAGAGATGAACCTTGTTCAACAGTGGATGAAAAATGACCAGCAGATGTAATATGAAAGCCTGCATAAGAGCCAGAGTGTGCAGATACAGAATGAGACCCAATGCTAGAACCAAGATGGTCTGTAAATGCAGGCAGAGATATCTGTTCTGCTCATCATCTGACTACTCTAGATAGTTTTCATCTGTTGGTTTGCACTTCATGATTGATTCATAGTGTCCTTGGACACTCCAGCCATCTTCTTCATATTTGAAGATGCAATAGGCAGGTTCTATGTAGAGTGATTAATATATATATTTACCAGAAATAGTCTTGGGAACCAAGACCAATAACATCTTGAATGGTTTCAAACTTGCTGATATCAGAGACATTGGCAATGAAAGAGGACTTGGTGATGTCAATATCAGGTGGGGGTGGTGGGAAGACAAAAGACAATGACATGGCAACAAAGCCAACATGTTTGGTCAGCTTTCAGAATGTGCCAGGAGCGAGGGTATATCATTTGTGAACATTGTGGAGCTAATAAAGCCTTCATGGTGTAGTCATTTATTGTGGTGGTAAAAGCTGCCCAAGTGATCAAGTAATCAATTCCTGGTCATCCTTTCTCAAGTCCTACCCCCTTCCTCCAGTCCTCCCCTCCCTCCACTTCTTCCCCCTTGCTCTATCTAGATTGAGTGTAGAAAACTTTAATATGTAGTTCTAATCAATGAATTCATTATTCATTTGACTTAACCCTCTTTAACTATAAATGTCCTAAGGAAGTTCTAGGATTAAGTTGTCAGCAGAAGGCCTGAGTTAGATTAAGTCACATGTTATTTCCATACTTTGTCCATGGTCTGATCAGAAGAGAGAAGTTAAAATGTATGTTGTATCTGTAATTTAAGTTCTATTCTGGTGGATTCCTGCAGATTCCAATATAATTCCTGTGGACTCTAGTGGACTCCAGTGGATTCTGGTGGATTGCAGGAGGAATGGGTGGAGCACTGTAAAGTAAGGTAGAGGGCATCCACTAACTTCTAACATCACATGTTGTTACATCTCTGTGACATGCCTTTTCAGATTAGGAAAGTTTGCTCATAAAAATGAAAGAAATGTATGATATTCCCATTGAAGTGTTTAAATATAGGTTAGATACAAGTTTACAAGCATTGATCATGAGTTATGGGTCCAAGCAATGGAAAATATAAAAGTATGTACCATAATGAAAGTGAATTAAATTGAGAAGGGAGAAGGTCAGCTTATTTTGGTCTTTTAAATGTCATCCATAAGTGTTTGTGGAAGAATATGATGTCCACGGTACTTTTGTGCTGCCCAGGCAGCTTGACTGCCATTTAGCCCCTTTTCATATGTATAATTGATGTATTCAACAATATTTTGGGTCAGAAACTGCAAATATCAAATTTCCTCCCATTATTTCTCTTTACATCTCAAAAATACTACATTTAGAGTAACTCTATGTAATTACAGTTGGCAAAAAGTGTTTTGGTTGCCAATGGCAAAGAATATTGTAAAAAAGTACCTTTCCTGAAACAGTCACACTTGGCATGTGACATTGGAAGCAAGTGGATGTCCTCTACCTTACTGCTCTGCTTGGCCCATGTCACCACCAGCAACATCCCCCTCAATGTAGTGGTATATAAACCAACTCTCCGCCCAGGCCATTTTGATATCACAGTCCCCATAGCCCTTGATCTGGACATGATTGGCTGCAGAACCACTGTCCACTGGGTACAGACCGCAAATGTTCATCATTGCATTGTCTTACTGCAACTGGGCCTGCCACCCCCTTCATGCCACATGACACAGTCAGCAGAGCCCCCCACCCCTTCAAAGCACCCAAATACAGTCCCATGTCCATACAATCTTCACTCTCTCAACAAAAAGTATTTGCAACTCAGCAGCTAAAGAGAACATGTGCCTGGTACCAGATCTGTCATTCAACAGCAACATCATCACATTTAATAATGACCCAACTGAAAAAGCTATCAACTGGCTGTAAGTGCCAGTGCAAATCTTTGTGAGTAAGAAACTCACACTCCAACCCTACCTTCCAGGCTCCAGCAAGTCCAGGTCATACTGGAGCCCAATGCAAGT